CTAGCAGCGTGGCCTGAAGCCAAGAGGTTTCCAAGTCAAAAAGCCATTACTGAAAAAACTTCACATTTAGAAAAGCGGTTAGATTTAGTTACATGTTTGTAATAAAGGAATTATTAGTGGTTCAACTAATTATGCCATTGCTGTTTATGTTAAAAAAGGAAACATTTAATAACATGGATTTAATTAACAATGTTATAACGTGTTTCTTTTGTAATCAAACACATTTTATGATTGGTTTTAGGTGGAGGTGGAAATATCAAAACTCTTGATGATTCGTACCAGTTCACAGTCGACGTGCAAGACTTCTCCCCAGAGGATGTCATCGTAACAACGTCCAACAACCAGATAGAAGTCCGTGCAGAAAAGGTGAACGGTGGTTTGGGACTACAGCACGAGAGACGGAAGATCCTCAAACAGAATCCTTCATTCTCTCCTCTCTCTTTCTGCAGTTGGCCCAGGATGGTTCAGTGATGAACACTTTCACCCACAAGTGCCAACTTCCTGAGGATGTAGACCCCACCTCGGTGACATCATCCCTGGGCCCTGAGGGCACCTTGACAGTCCGGGCGCGCAGACAGCCGGCCAAACACGAGCTCGTACAGACCTTTCGCACCGAAATCAAAATCTAGAGATGGACCCACTTCCTCAGCATAAACCCATCACTTTTTGTGTTTTTAAGCTTTTTTTTAAGCTTCCCTAATGAAGCTTTATCTAAGTCCCACGATGGATGAGGATATGATCTGTCCTACATAGTCATACCAGTTAAATAACATGTTTAGATACAATGGTCCTTGTATTACTCTTTTCATTGCATAATATTTGCCTTTTGTTCCGATTGCAGAGGAAGACATGATTCCATGAAAATAAACCCTGTCGCAGACACAATTTAATCCTCGGATAAACCAGGCTGCCATGGATGTGTTAGGGCACGTCCAAACACTGTGCTATAAGGAAGCTGCAGCTTTTACTCACTACATTAACAACACATCTACAGTCCAGCTGCAGAGGGAAACTCATGGTTATTTCAGCAACTAGTTCTCTGACCTCTTGGGGGTCCTTATTGAGCATTAGGAAAGGATTCATTCCTGGATAAGTTGACCTTTAAATTTAAACAACCAAAAAATAAAGAAAGTGATGCTATAACAAAAAAAATAAAATAAAGAAGAAAATCATCCTCACTCAGAAGAATATTGTGAATTCCACAGCTTTAATCCCAATAAAAATGCTCTATCTATCGATGCACTTTAAAATTCTTCAAGGATGTGACCGAACTTGATGTTTGATAAAGCAGAATTAATTTATTTTGTTCTGACCCATGCAACAAACATCCTCAGTACACCAGCATAAAAGGCAAGGTAAAGATTGCGACAGCAGCTCAGCTTTTAAATCAATCCCTCTATTTCCTAATCTGTTTTTATCATCAGTACTAATTTATTGTATTTAATTCTATGATTAAACTTGCATTAAACATGACTGCAATAAATTTTTTTCTTTGACGCTTTCTTACAAAACACCTCTAATAGGGTTTTTTTTTTCTTCAGACTCCAAAGAAAATAATCTTACCCAGTTTTTACTTCATGTTCTCTTTATGAGCAGCAAGGAATAACAAGCAGCATTTAACATAAATAATGATCCTTTTTGGACATTTGAGGATATATTTATCAATATATAGTAATTTAAACTCATGAATTTAAATCAGGATGCAGACAGTGGATGCTTATTATCAACAGCACATGATCCACTGTTGGTCACAAAACCTTAAAACAAAAACTGTGTATGAACATTGAGCATCACTACGTCAGTTCAGTTCTTTGGACTGTCGGAGCAAAACCAAAGCATCTGAATGATGTGGAAATGGTACTTAAAAGGCCAGATATTTTCTAATTCAATGCCAAGCTGAGAAATCAATAAATTCTCATTACATATAAGGGGCTTCTTTTCAGCTTTTGTGAACATTTTATATTTAGTGCTGTTCTCAGCTTTGTGACAAACGTGAAAAAACTATTCAAGGTTAAAGTTTCAAAAAGAAACTTGTTGTATAGCACACTCCACACGTTTCCACCTACAATTGATTTGTGTAAAGAACCCTTCAAATAAACATATGTTTTTGTAAAGTAGCATAATCTAACACAGACTAATTGGGAAAAATATGGCCACTAGTTTATATGTGTTTATAAAGTTTGGTTAGGAGCACAGCTATACATGTTAAATTGATCAGTGTCAGTCAACCTTAACGAAGAATGCTTGGCTCACTTTTCCCATGAGGTATAAAAATTATGCAACACAAAGGCCAATTTCATTCACAGTCTTCAGAAAGGGCAATAAAAGAGAAGATAACAAGTAAGTTACTCTGAAGTGCTGCAAGAACAAATACTTCTGTCTAATTTTGTCGACATCAAAATACAAGCAATGTTTATTTAAGTATGATAAACAAGCTTGAGCAAAGACCATTGAACAGGCAGGTGAATGGAAAGGGGGAAAGGTATTTCTTCTAAGTTAACACTGAAAGAAAAGAAGAAATAATTCTATGGCTTTTTTTACTCTTCTTTACCAGATAATTAATTCATTTTTTTTGTTTGTTTGTTTTATCCTGCATGTATCGGTGCATTTCTCTGCGTTGGGTTAACCATTTATCTCTTGTTTTGGCACCTTGACATTAATTTGAGAAGATTAGCTTTTAATAAATGATTAAATAGATATAAATATATGTATACGGTGTTGCAAAAGTGTCAATCAACTAAATTTGCCTAGATTTGTTCCCTCAAGATTCTAATTTTTTTGTAGCTCAGCCCTAATATTAGCCTTTGTGTGATGTCATTATCATTTATATTTGTTGTAATTTTGCTGCCTGATTCCTAATGACAAAACATATGAAAAAATGGTTTTTAAAGTCAGCTCTGTGCAAAAGAAAAGGCCTGACACAAACAATGAGGTGTGAGTCATCATTCATTACTACATGGGTTTTGAAAAATAAGTATCTTTATTAAATTGCTTTCTATTGTTTGTAGTATTTTCAATATTCTTAGCTGGAGAACGTATGCATTTGTGACAGCCCGCTGCTAACAAATTTCCTGCAAAAAATTGTAATTTGATTAGTTTGTTATTTGTGGATTAAAAGGTGCATCAACTCTTAGATTTAACAGGCTTTTTGATTCATTTGATTGATTCGTATGGCTTTTTAAAAGCAGGGCCATTTCATTTGTGTGCACATTTGTGGGTTCACAGCTTTATAATGTAATAAAACACAGGATTTATGTACAAGGACTTCGCCAACAATCATTTCGAACGTTTAAAACCGGGTATTTTGAGCCATCTGGTGGTGATTGTTCGCCTAACAGGCGCTCCTACTGCGCATGCTCGCCGGGCGCATCCGGCTGGTCCCTATCAATCGATCAGAGAGAGGAAGATGGGAAGAAGGGCTCCTCAACTAAACGTGTGGACCTGGGGAGGAACGTTGGTCGTTTGGTGCATGGCGCGTGTTTTGAAGCTGCTCTGCTTGTGGAGAAATGTCCTGGGCCGTGAGTAGTGAGGAAACAGGAAGCGATTCTTGTGGGATGGAAGAGGGAAATAGTGACAATGAAGGTTGGAAGATAGCAGCATCAAAAAATGAGAAAAAGCGGAAAAAACAGAGATCAGTTAAAGGGGAATCTAGTTCAGAACAATCCAGTGATGATCAATCCATACATTCCACAGCACAACAAAATGAATTCAAAGTCATATTCAAAGTCGTTAATCAGGCAGACTCTTTTACAAACTGGAATCCGGTTCACTTAACAAAAACCATCAATAAACTTGTTGGAGAAGTCAGAGGTGCCAGAATTCTGTACAGTGGAGACCTGCTAATTAACTGCAGAGACAGCGCCCAGCAAGGCAAAGCAATACGTATTAACAAAATTGACGGGATAAGAGTTCAGTGCAGCCTAATGGAGAACAAAAAGATCAGCAGGGAGTCATTGAGGAGTTCCTCTAGAAAATTTCTGAAAAGAGATTCTGGAAAACATAAGCGGTGCAAAAGTAAAAGAAGTAAACGTTAAAACAACAAGAAACGGAGAAAATCTGCAGTTTATTGTACTAATTAAATTTCGAGAAGAGCAATATACAAGAAAGTATTCATCGGTTCAGTCAACCATTAAAAAATGCTTCCACTCCCATGAGGTTTAAAATTATCAAAAATTTCACACAGTCTGCAGAAGGCATAAAAGAGGAAACAAGTAAGTATTGAAGTGTGCAGAGAACAATATTGGTCTAAATTGTAAGAACTCAAAATAAAGCATGTTTATTGTAGTTGAAACAACGCTTGGGCAAGCTGCGGCTGTGAAGAAGAAAGAGGTATCTAAGTAAATAAAAAAAGAATAATTTTGTAGCTTCTTGGAATAACTTATTTTTTGTTAGTTTGTCTGCATGAAAGGTGCCATCTCTCTGATAAACCATAACTCAGTTTCAACACAGAGGAATTTTAATAAATGATAAATAGATAAAAATATGATTTTGAAGAATCACTAAATAGTTGTTTAAAAAGACAATTTTTTGTAGCTCCTTATTCTTTAGTGTGTGTCATTATCATTAATTTGTCTGTCAGGCACTGACAAAAAAAACATATGAAAAAATAAAAAGTATTAAATGAAGGCCCTGCAAAAAAATCTAGGGTAGTTCAATTATAACTACATGGTTTGAAGAATAGATTTGATAAATTGCTTTCAATTGGTAGTATCAATACTGCTGAGGAACGATGACCAGAGTAATGCTAACAATTATACTGGCAAAATTGTAATTTGTTAATTTAGTATTTGTGGATTTAAAGGTTAACGTTAGATTTAACATTTTTTATTATTTTATTTTCTTCTTTTTATTTCATTTTTGACTTTGTGGGTCACGCTTGAAAATGTATCACAGATTTATGTTCAACTCCCACATCATTGTCGACGTAAACACATTTTTACCAGAGTTGTTGCCTAACGCGCCATAATGATCTCATACGGATGACAAGAAGAGAGAGGAAGATGGCGGCGGATGCAGTTAGCGGTGGAGGATCGATCCCCGAAACACTCGATTGGGTTTGTTTTTCTCTCTTCGGTTAGAAAATACACCGTACGGCGCAATTTCACTCACTGGAATCGAAACTAGGAATTGGCAAGAAACAGGTAATTACAAAGATTATAATTCTTGTAAAAATGGCGCTGAATGAGGGAGTAGAAGCGACGTTAGCCGTGAAAAACAACAGCAGAGCAGGGCTAGCTCCCACTCTGTGGGACGACATCTTGTTCTTACTCAGCGCGGCTCGCATGAAGGCAGGCTAAATTAATCCCTGATAGCAAAGCTGCAAGGATGGAGGAATTGTAATCGATGCGTTGCACCGTCAAACCTGAGCCGTTTTCTCCCAAATTTTATTCTAATTTCTAAATTTCAATATTGGCTACATGGTTGTAAATAAAGTTAGTTTTTCTACATGCTTTCATCTTTGAACGCCTATGTTACAGTTTGTTTTTGCTGGCTATAATGTACATTTTTATATTAGTTAAAACTGTTATCATCGCGAAAGCCCAAAGTATATTCTAAATGGATTTCTAAAGGGTGTTCAGATTCACAATGATCCAGTTTTCCTACTTCACCTGCTGTCTAAATGATCCTTTATGTAAAATTCCCAAAATAAGACGTTTATAGGGACTGTTGACAGAAAGATCTCCATAATATTAGCTGGAAAATCTAATATTGAAGAGTAAATATCAGATCTGTAAAATGATGTTTTTAAAGCAAGGCTTTTTGTCTAAAATACATTTAAAAATGAATCCATGATCATGACTGCTGCAGTTTTCAAAAAGCTGATAATCTTTGGTTAAGGTATACCAATGAGGTATACAATATAGTTAATGTTGAAACCTGGGAAAAGTTGCCACCCAGAAAAACAAAAAACTGTTAAATATATATAAAAATTTATTTTCCTATGGTCACATAAATTATATAATAGGAAACAACAATATTGAGCCAAATAGCAAACTTCCTGAGTGCAACCTGAAGTACTTCTTACAGTATTATGACTCCAGTATTGTGGTTTTTTACGGGATTAAAGTAGTTTGTGCACTCTATTACCACAAAAATCTTCTCCATAACATCAAACTTTCTGCTTTTTACATTTATTTTTGCTAAAAAAAAAAAGTTGTAATATGGAACCCAGAATATACAGAACAAACAAATACATGTACTCTGGAAATGGTAATTAAGTTATACATTTATTTGAAAAAATAAAAATAAATTAAAGCCACAAGTGGCATTGGGCGGCCCTCGCAGCTCGCACCGCCTGGTATGTTGCGACCGCGGGAACCAAGCGACCTCCACCTCCACGCTCCTTCCCAGCCTATGCTCCTGCTCTTCAGCCTATGCCTGCTGCTGCTTCTCTTCATCCTCCCCCTCCTTCTCGTTCTGCTGCTGCCACTGTTTCTCATCCTCCTCCTCCTGCAGCTTCTCCTCATCTTCCTCATCCTCCTGCTAATGCAGCTTCTCCTCATCATCCTCCTGCTTCTGCTTATCTTGCTGTGTCTCCTTCTCCTCCTTCTGCTGTCGCTCTTGCTGCATCTCCTTCTCATCCTGCTGTCGCTGTTGCTGCATCTCCTTCTCCTCATCCTGCTGCTGCTTTTTCTCTTAATCCCCTGCCTGCTGCTGCTTCTCCTGATCCTCTTCATCCTCCTTATCCTGCTTCATTTAATCCTCCTCCATTCTCCTTCTGCTGTATCTCATCCTAATCATCCTCCTTCCCCTGTGCTCCTTCTCTTCATATTCTTCTTCCTGCTGCTGCTCTCACTGCATCTCCTACTGCTGTTTGTTTCTCATCCTCATCATCCTTCTCCTCCTAAAAGCATGGCTTTGTATGACTGGAGTTAACAGTTTGATGCTTAGCCACGCCCACATGCTCCCATGTAGAATAATAATTTTGATAACTTTCAATTTGCTATGACTATAGTCCATGTAAAGTTAATTTGAAGTCTCAAACTAAAAAAAAACCAAGAGCCCTTCACTCAGATATGTCATGACCTAAAAAAAGAAAATGGTATCTTTGATCCAAAATGGCCTGTTTCTTGTTGGGTGTGGACCAACACTTCGATTTCACAACAGGGTAAAATGTAATTCAAAATGGCCGACTCTACTCAAAACAAAAAAAAATCATTAAAAATCCATAGTTTGCAATAAAATCCCGAAAAAAATCACAAATGTCAAGGAACACATTTATTTGAAAAAATAAAAATAAATAAATAATAAATAAAGTAATTCCCAGTAATAGGTATGGCCTGTTTACCAATCTCCTCAAAGCTTTTTAAAACAACAGTTAATTTTGATTCTTGGTTTTAACAATCAAGGTGCTGAGTTATTTAGAACAGGATCAGTTCATATCTGCTGTTTGTGAAATACATTCAGCTGATAAGAAGGATTCTAGAAATACTTTGATTTTAGCAAGTCCACGGAAATCTTTTCTCTCATAGGCTCAGTACTTTTACAGAAGAATCTGTTTGACATTTTATTTTTAGATAAGCAAACATCCACACATCTCTTATACCAAATGCATGATGGAGACTTTACGATCACACATCTTTGATATTTAACTCGTTTATATGTTTTATAAGGAAATTTATTTTGGATTAAATTAAATACAACAAATAAACACCTCACTTTGATCTTGTTTGTTTAGTTTAGGTTTTTTTGTTGTTTTTTTTTTTCTCTAAACAGGTCACACCTTTACCCCCAAGAGGTTAAACAGAGAAATTGAAGTTAATTAAAATGTATTTTTTTCTGTGTCTGGCCTAGCATATTTCTTATACTGATTGGTAGGATAGCATCTGTGGATAAGTTTATAAGTCACCTTATAGACAGACTAGACAGGCCTTCTGCTTTAGAGAAAATCTCCCACCCCTCAGAGTTAAATATCTCTGCAGTCATTGGTTCAGCCTTTCATCATCTTGGTTCATCTTCTTTTATAACTGAGTAATTGTGATAGCTAAGTTATTTACATTTAGCTTAATTGGTGTGCTAGTTATTGATGAAAGAATACAGTCCTTTATAGCAAAACCATACCACTTATTGATATTTAAATATATACCAGAGGCTTTAGAAAATGTCTGGATATTATAAAGCACTGGTTTGCTTTATTTTTATATCGAGAAATAGGGAACCCATGTCTGATGCTTCACTGGAACTTAAATCTTACAAAAGCTTCCGGTTTTAACTAAATAGCACTGTTTCCATTAGCATAAAGAGTTTAAATGGTCTTTATAAAGATGGGACCAAAACCAAATGTTTTGTTCCAAATTTTCATTTGTGTATGGTGTTAAGGTTGGAGCCACTATTTTCTAATCTAAAGAAGTGTGCATCCATCTTTTTCTACATCTAATGAAAGCCCCTCTGCTCTAACCTTGTACATTTCATCCAAACTTTTAATAAGTCAAGTTTCTCCTGATCAGACATTGAGATATGGTATCTTCTTTCAGTCTTTTTTTTTTTTCTTGATATGTCTTACTGCACTTTCTTAAGTATTTTCCAATTTAAAACTACAGAAGTCCGGGGTCTTTCTCTATGGATTTTGATGTTCTCCCTCTTCATACGTGGGTTCTCTCCAGGTAGCTTCCTCCCACAGTCCAAAAACATGACTGTAAGGTTAATTGGCTTCTCTAAATTCTCCTTAGGTGTGAGTGTGTGAATGCATGGTTGTTTGTCCTGTTTGTGTCTGTGGTGCCCTGCAATGGACTGGCGAGCTGTCCAGGGTGTAGCCCGCCTCTCACCCCTAGACAGTTAATGCACCAGCAACCCTTGCGACCCCACTTGGGATAAATCTGACGGAAAATTTATGGAAGGAATCGATATTTATTGTTTGTTGTGAAGAATGATTATTTTACATGCATGTTTAATAGCTTGAATTATCGCTTTCCTTTAAAATGGTGAAGAAATTCAAAGTTTTTGAATGCAGTGTATGTTATTCATAATTTTTATGATGAATCTTCATCTAGAAAAAAATGATTAATCAGATTTGGTAAGAAGTGGAAGATTTAATTTTAAAGCCATTTAGCTAGCCCTAGTTTCTGTCCTTGGAGGACATACGCTGGTCTGAATTCATGTACTTTTTATACTAACATATCAAAGTCTTTGGCATTTATCTAATAAGTCTGACTTTTTACTTTAAGTTACGAAATAGTTGATTTCATTCTATTTGCACTTTTTGTTTATGCTTTTTAACTTATGCATTTGTTTTTGATGATTTGTTTAAATAGTCTTGTTTATTTTTACTTATTTTTGCTGTATAAATACAACATATTTGTCTTTCTTTGTTTTTGTCTATTTTAGTACAAATCTATACTTTCAGTGTTTTTAATTAGATTAATGTGTGATTATTATTTCTGTTCATATTATTTCAGTTCAAATAAGTAGTATAGTAATATGTCCATTTTAAACACACAGGAGTAACCCTGATAAACGGAAACTTGACCTCTGGAAGAGATGGAGTTCCCCTGGCACAGCGGGGAGGTTCTGGAGCAGCTCAACCGGCAGCGTAAGCAGGGCCTGCTGTGCGACTGCACCTTCGTGGTGGACGGTGTTGACTTTAAGGCCCACAAAGCCGTGCTGGCAGCCTGCAGTGTGTACTTCCGAGCCCTTTTCTTGGATCAGAAGGATGTGGTGCATTTGGACATCAGCAATGCTGCTGGTAGGCTCCATTTGTGACATAAAACCTGTCTCACTATTTTAGAAATGCTGAAACGGCTTATCTGCTGTTGATGTTTTATCAGCTTTTTAGTTTGTTTCTTCTTTGTTTTGTTTGTTTTTTATTTCTCCAGGTTTGGGTCAAGTCCTGGATTTTATGTACACCTCCAAACTGAGCTTAAGTCCGCAGAATATTGAGGATGTATTGTCTGTCGCCCACTTCCTGCAGATGCAGGAAATCATAAATGCTTGTTCTGCGTATCAGTCGATGTCAAACCAAGCTCCAACCATCATAACGCTGGATATCCCTGATGATGAAACAGGTCTTTAAATGTTTTCTCTGTTTCTGTTTGTGTGTTTAGGAGCTGAGAACAGTCAGATTAGGGCTGAACATTATCAGGGAAAGGGACTTTTTTCCTTTTTTCCATCACCTTTCTCTAAAAGCTTTGGAATCTCAGCCTTTTGTTATTGTCGGAATTAATAAAATAACCCACACACTCATAGAGAAAAAAAAATAATAAAAAAACAATTTTTAATTTTATCTAATCTACCCAAAGTTAAAGGTGATTAAAAAGACTCTAATATTTTAATAAAATCCAACTAATATTTAGTTAAATGTCTCTTGGAAGCATACAAATTACACACCTGAGGCCTGTTTAACAAATCAGACATATTAAAACTAAGTTTTCTAAACCTGAAATCAGGGAAACTCTGAGTTTTCTGTTTCACAAAGAGAGTTCCTTAAACCTCTGTTTCTCTAAGTGGCATTCATTTGCAGAGATAATTAAATATTTTTAACCTCATATATTTCATATTAAGTAAGTTATCTTCATGAGTGCTACCATTTCACCTCAAAATCCAATACGTACATCCAGACCTTATCCATCCTCACATCTGCAGCATTAACTTCCTTTAACAGGTATTTGACAGAACAACTTGTGGATGTTTTTTTGTTTTTTTTTTAAGATACATTGATACATTAAAAGCTACTGAAATTATTTTCAAATTACATATAAATGGATACATCGATTCTGTGGGGAAAAAGGAATTCCTGTAGGTTTTAGGTTTACTATTCATTTGGTGATAACAGCCCACTGAGCCTGCTGGTAGGTAGGAGGCAGAATCTAAAGACATTCTATGGGACTGATAACCACTATTAACGGTCATTTATTAGGATGACAACATCCGAAGCTGCTGCAAACAGCCTCTTATTTACTTCGTAATGGAAGACGAATGAGATGATGAACAGGTTCTATCAATTAGAGCAACGTTTTTAGACTTCATCATTCACCTGCTTATTGGTAATTTCACCTAAATATATACATTGATAGACTACCATTCAAGAAATAAACCAGTTTTCACCGTAATGTTAGCGTGGTTACCACTGACTATGGCAGGCCGTTTTGATATGTATTAGTTCTAATAAATGTGTTTTTCTGATATCTGTAAAAAACTAGAAGGGGAGAATTTTGACAAGGAGTCTGAAAATTGACTTGGAAATTATTTTCCGATCTCCATATTCCTATTGTTGCTGAACAGAATTTGTATTATTTTGAATATGAACAAATGTACTTCAGATATTATAAATACATATTCAGTAAAGCTGATAAAATAAATGAAATACCAAGATTTCTAAATAATATGGGCCTCATAATAAAGTTCTTCCTGTTCAATTATTTCTATGCACACGCAGCAGACTGACGGACTACAGTTGGGTCTTTGGTAAACTCTGATTAAAGTAGTGATTTTATTATTGAACTGATTTGCTTTTGATTTTGTTTTGAGAGGATCTGAGGTGGAAGTGTAGTTACATGCAACAGAAAAGCTGATTTTGTTTATCAAATATAACTGTTGTGCATGTGCATCTAGCAGGCCGAGGTACTATACATACGCTGTTTTCAAACAGCGTATGTATAGTACACTCTTCATCCATTTATGGATTTCTTTTTAGATATATATTTCCATTTATCTTAGTGTGGTAAAATATTGTGATAATAATAAGGAATGAAAAAAGGAATGGCTCTCTGTTGTTGTTGTTTTTGTTAGTTTTTGTTAAATATTTTCTAAAACAAAATTCCAACAAACCAAATAATGAAGTACTCAAGATCTCAAACAGCAATAACCAACACCCTGATATAAATTCATGCAGGCAGCAATCAAAGTCGTCTGCAGCTGTCTGTAGCTTTGGGACTCAGCTGAACTGCTGTGGAACTATTAACCCCCAAACGGAGAGAATATGGAAAAGTAATAAAAAATCCCTGGAGCTGCTGTACTTCCATAATTACTCCAAAAACTAGTGAAGGCCTATATTCTATTTAAGATACTGCTCCATTCCCCTAAACATAAGAAAACCATCTTAGTTAAATACCGTAAAAGAAGAGGCAACCAGATTCCTTCACATAGACGTTAAAGAGTCCTTGCCAATCATCAACAACACTTGGTCGGGGGAGAGTAACTGTTTCCCATGGGGGCGGGATAGGATAAACAGCTTTTATCTTTTAATAAAAGAAGCTTAATTTGAGAAGCGTACGTCGTATCAGTCAATATCGTAATCAGGGTCACGGTTGGTACGTAGTTGAATCCTAACACGTCCTGTCATTTTTCTTATCCTTTATTTAGCAGACATAAAGGATGCTGCGAGAGAGCTGAAGGATGATGCTGAAAATCAGCTGTCAGAAGTTTCAGCGCAAACAGAGAAGTGTCCTTCTAACACACCTACAGAAGATCAGAGGAATCCTCCCAGTGAGGAGGATGGGAACAGAGACGTTTCTGTTGATGCACAACAAAGTATTGCTCAGCCTAATCCCAGCAGGAAGCACACGGGCCGTGGAAGACCCCCCAAAAACACGCAGGTTTCTGTACAGAAGATGATCTCTGTGAAGGAGGAGGATGGAGGCTCTACATCCATCCCTGCAGGATTTCAGGACGACCCCTCAGATGCTGACTACACACCCAGTAAATTATAAATATGACGTGTAAAGACCCATAAATAAAAGGCAGAAAGTAAATATTAAATCTGATATTCAAATGTTTCTGCAGAAGAGCACTTGAGATCTTCAGGCAGCTCGGCTTACATGAGCTCACGTGGAAGAAGGATCAGAAAACCGGCCCGGCGTAAGTTTCCCTCAGTGGGTGGGATGTGCTCTGACAGAAATCCAATCAACAATAACATTCATACGCCTTGTTTTTTGTTTTGTTTTTTTTTCCTTCCAGAAAATGACTCTGAGGATGAAGGTCCATCAAAGGTGAAAAAGGATAAAAAGACAACAGAGTCGGAAGAAGTGGCTGACGGACAGGAACCAGAACCCGGGGAGACTGGTGAAGAAGGGACCGAAGAGGCAGAAGATGACACGGAACAGGAAGCAGACGGAGACAGTGAGGGAGAGGGAAGACAAATTCTGGGCGTATCTATGAGCAACCGATCTGAGTCTAAACCTTACAGCTCTGTGACGCACAAATGTGGGGTGAGTTTTCCATTTTTTTAAAGAATAAAACCTGCACATGTCACTGCTCTGCATAAACACACGTCGGTTCCAAATCCAGCTGCAAGTCTTCTGTCTTTAGTCTGCTGCTATGCATGCCCTGCTCAGTTTGATGGTCTGTCACAGATGATCCTTTCCAAATGCAACTGTTTCCGAGTATTGCCACAGAATTCCATCTGCATTTTAATTTGGACTTTGACTAGGCCGTTATAACAAATGAATAGTCTTTAAACCAAAGTGGTGCCTTTCTCTGTGCAATTCACCCTGCTGAACAGGAAGCTTTCATCCAGTTTCAAGTCTTTTTCAACCTCTAACAGATTATTTCAGTATTAAACTTTATCTAGCTTTGCCTGCTGAAGAAAAACATTTCCACAGCATAATGACAGATTTCTGCCTTTTCTATAGAGGCCAAACACCTGAGCTGATCTTCTTCCATAGGTTACAGGAAGCATGACATCTTGCAGTCTTCCATAGAGACCATAGAGAGTGTGGATTTCTTTTTTGGTGCAGAGTAATGGTTGTCATGCGAACAGCTTCTGAAGCCATAGCTTTAGCTCTCCAGAGTCACTCTGGGCTTTCTGTCTGCATCTCTGAATGATTCTCTCCTTCTCTGGCCTTTCATTGTGTGTGTGTTGCGAACGATTTAGCATTTTAACACTGCCCATTCTCCAAATGATGGATAGTAGTAGCGCCAGAGGACTCTGGGTAATGGCTAAACATTGTGATATTGTTTTATAAAGTGAACAACTTTAAATTTCTCCACATGACTCCCAGACCTGCCTTCTGAGATCCCTGCACTGCAACAAATATCAATAACTTATTTTTTTTTCTTAAAGTAAGTGCATTTGTTCTTGAATTGAGGAGGTAAGTGAGACACTTTGCCAATGGAACAAGACAATTTACTCTTAAAATAAGATCAAAAATAATGTATGTGTCTTATTTTAATTGCATATTATCTAACAATCTTATTTTAAGAGAAAAAATACTAATTCCATTGGCAGATCATCTTATTTGCCTAATTTAAGAATTTTTTACTTATTTATAGATCATTTTTGCAGTGTCTTCATGATGCTGTTTGTTCTATAGTAAAGCTCTTGGAGCTTCAAAGAACAGCAGGTTTTATCCTGAGCTTAACCCACATGCAGAGAGGCTCTTATCTACATCTGAAAACCTTTTTCTTCCACTTCTTCATGTTGAGCTTTGTGTCGAGTTGTCGGTTAGATTCCTGGAATAAACTTTTTATCAGTTTACTGTAACTTTTTTGTTCTCTGTGTTGTTTTGGCTCATTTGATAGTTTTTTCCTTGTAGGATTGTGGGAAGAAATTTACCCACACGGGTAATTTTAAGAGACACATGCGTATCCACACTGGAGAAAAGCCCTTCAGCTGTCGGGACTGCAACAAGGCTTTCTCTGACCCTGCAGCTTGTAAAGCTCATGAGAAAACACACAGGTGAGCTTCACATATTTTTATACACACTTCTATTTCTGTTTGCTCAGTCGGCTTCTTATCACACACACCCCGCCGTTTCCCTCTTAGTCCCCTGAAGCCGTATTGCTGCTCCACCTGTGGGAAGAGCTATCGCCAGATCAGCCTGCTCAACCTCCATCGGAAACGGCACACGGGTGAAGCGCGCTACAGCTGCGACGTCTGCGGCAAGCTTTTCACCACCTCGGGGAATCTGAAGCGCCACCAGCTGGTGCACAGCGGGGAGAAACCGTACCACTGCGACTTCTGCGACAAAGCTTTCTCCGACCCCACCGCCAAGATGCGACACCTGGAGACGCACGATACGGAGAAGGGGAACAAGTGCCCACACTGTGACAAACGTTTTAACCAGGTGACTGTGAAAAGTTTGAACGTTTCTAAAGGACCCATTTGCATCTGCGGCTTCTCTGTTTTATTTATATATTTTTTCTTCTTTTCTTGCTCAGATGGGGAATCTGAAAGCACACTTAAAAGTCCACATAGCAGACGGGCCTCTCAAGTGTAAGGAGTGTGGCAAGCAGTTTACAACTTCAGGTAAAAAAACAGAAATCCTTCTTTAGAAGAAATTATATTAAACTGGAAAACTGAAAATGTTATTATAGTTTGTTTAAACCAAAGAGTGACATTTTACAAATGAAGTAGAAGAAAATAAGATTGATGGTTTTTAATAGTGAAAGTCATTGTACTTCTCTGTAACTGCAGGTTTTTTAGATTCATCTTGACAAACTTGGTTCGTCTAGAGACTGAATTTGTTTCAAAACACATATATATATATATGTAAATAAGTACGTTTTAATAGCACCACAGGTAAAAATCACACGGTGCTGGAGAAATCAGAATCCGAATTACTGCAGGAAATTATTTTCTTGCAGTACCGTTCACAGAAGAGAGAAAAATAAGATTGTAAGTAATATAGAGCAAGATAAAAATATGATATAATAAGACAGAATAAAATAAGTAAAACTACAGCGCACAGAATAAAACTACACCCATCCCCTGTAAACTGTGATAAGAATAAAATAAGTACAGGAATACAATCAACAGTGTTTACAATTTACAGTGCTGCTCAGTACCTAAATTACTATTGTTGCACAGAGTACAATAAGCAAAGATTGAAATATCACAAGAACAGCTTATGACATCATAATGTTTTTGGATTTTTTTTTCACCATAACTAAATTAAAAAATTTTATTTCAATATTTTATTGCTTCTTTTTCTTTTCTTTTTTTCCTGTTTTTTTTTTTTTTTTTTATAAATCACCATGTTTTAAACGCTCTAGGGCTTCAACTAACAATTTATTCCTTTTATTTGTGTGTTTTTTTAATAATAGGAATGCAAAAGTTCTCTCAAAAGAAGAACTTTTACAGAATCTAAACCAGATGAAACTAAAACTTTTCCACTTGAGGATGTCTGTATAGAGATATTGACAGGAAGAAATTATTATTTTTTTTTTTATCTTCAATGCAAAATATACATATATTTATAATTAGTGCTCTAAGTAGTTTGCTCTGTCAGCTAAAGGCATTTTTTAGAGTCTCTATTCTCCAGATAACGATGAACCGATTAATTGTTTTAGCTCTCAAACAACCCTGCACCATTTATGTCCACATCATGATTCAACCCAAGCAGCCTTTTAGAAACATAGAGAACAGCAGCTCTACTATTATTGGTAACGGCTATCGATGCATAAATCCAATTAGGAGCCGGTTAAATAAATGACTTGTGTTTTTATGTAATACCAGCACTTTCTAGTTATTAAATACCTCATAAATGTTTTTTTAATGTATTTTTCAAAAGCACTTCATGTCATTAGTTGAATAATTTGGTTTTACCTTTTTAGGGAATCTTAAAAGACACCTGCGTGTTCACAGCGGGGAGAAACCCTATGCATGTTCGCACTGTCAGAGAGCTTTTAGTGACCCCGGAGCCCTGCAGCGTCATGAACGCATTCACACAGGTAATCTTCCCACTTTGCTCTGTTAGTCTTGTTTTTTTTTTTCACAATATTTTCTATTATTCCTTCCTCTAAATTACTGCTGATTATTTGCCACCGATGTGTGACTAAGTTGTACGGGTTACAGGAGAAAAACCCTGCGTCTGCCTGGTCTGCGGTAAGGCCTTCACCCAGGCCAGCTCTCTCATCGCTCACGTCCGTCAGCACACTGGAGAGAAGCCTTACGTCTGCGATCGCTGTGGGAAAAGGTGAGCCGGGCCACACTTATTATCACATCAGGGCGGAAATAATAAAAGCGTGTTTTATTTTGCATCCAACTGAGATATCATTCAAAGATAGAAGGTTAGGAGCATGAGACATTCAGGTACCATCTAGATCAATATTATATGAATAGAAAGAGGTTTTTATATTTTTTTACCTTTTGTTGATATTAAAGCATGTTTAGGAGCAGTAAATAGAAAAAATTTATGTATTTTGGTGTATCAGATTTATCCCCATCCAGCTGTGCGCTAAATGAATTACAAACATTCAAGAAGAACGCTTTGATCCATCTTGTGAAGCATTCAACAAGTGTCACAAAAAAGCTGGTGTCAAAATCCCACACAGATTCAGGTCTCCAATCTGGGGATGAAGAACAGAGTGATGCATAATTTTGTCTTTTTATATTTTTTATGATCTAATCTTTGCAGCTATACTGATAAAAACGAAAAGGAGAAACATCAACCAAACTTTAACATGAGAAATCAACTAAAATAAGTAAAGGATTATGGAAAATCGATCTGAAAATATGGCTGAAAGAAGCGCACGGTTGCCCACTGGTATAACTAAAGAACAACAGCAGCTGATAACGGTTGCATTGAAGCTCGTCGAGCACAGACTAACAAACTGTCTGTTTCTGCTGGGAGGACAGACTAGTAGCTCGATTACTCTGCCCCGTTTCCAACATAATGCCAGAATAAACTTCACTGTTAAATTTTCTCTCTGTTGATCTACAGTCTTCTTTACTTGTTTTATAAACTTCCTTCGATAAAATGTATTCATATACAGGTAGAAAGAATAGGGCTAACAAGGTTGTCCCCTTTAGACTACCGTAACTATAAACGGTGACATGGCTTCCATTAGGTGCACCACTAACTATGTATTCATAAACAACTATTTAGAAAGCTTTTAGCTTTAAGTAATTCTTGATTTTTTTCTTGAAAACAAATAAGTTATTTTCATAATCCTTTTAAATATGACACAAATCAATGTTTCTACTGATTTTTGGAGCATATTTATTTTGCAATACACTGAATTTTTCAATTAATGTCCTTTTGCACCATTTTTAAGCTGGTTTTGTTTTTTCTCCTACATTTTTACAATCACTGCTGCAATTTATATTGATAATGTTTATCTACTCCAGTTGAAGTATCATTTGGCTGTTATAAGCTGTATGCGATGAATTTTGTTTTGTATGCACTCTATTCATACAAAATAACAATACCGTTTTTTTTTTCTAAGTCTAGTCTAAACACTCAGCGCTTCTCTGTCTAAATCTTTAACTGGTGTGCAGTTACAGGCTGTTCAAGCTTACTTTAAGCCCTGTTAATAACCTAAATGAAAGTTAGAATTTATCTTCGCTTCTCCAAACTGGCTGAAATACTGACTTCTTCCAAATTTTTTTCTGAACAGGTTTGTGCAGTCCAGTCAGCTTGCCAATCACATCCGTCACCATGACAATGTGCGGCCGCACAAGTGCCATATGTGCAACAAGGCGTTTGTGAATGTAGGAGATCTGTCCAAGCATATCATCATTCATACGGGTAAAGTTACAAGGTTACAAGACTCAGTTTGAGGTGCTGCTGAAATCTGTAGACCGCAGCTTCTCAAAATGTTTTCACTTTAAAGTGAAATTTATATCAAATGTAAAGTTTCCCCTGTCTCTCATCAGGTGAAAAGCCTTTTCTGTGTGATAAATGTGGCCGCGGCTTTAACCGCGTGGACAACCTGCGCTCTCATGTTAAGACGGTTCACCACGGCAAGGCCGGCATGAAGCGGCTGGTGGTAACTGAGGAAACGGGAGAAGAAGGCGGCGAGGACGGCATCGAGGGGGGAAGTTCAGATGAGATCAAAATAGTCACCGTCACCACGGAGGACATCGTCACCCTTGCAACCGAGGCCCTGGCAGGCAGCGCTGTAGCTCAGCTCACCGGTCAGTATCTTTCAGGCTCAGTGTTTCAGACAAAAGGCTGCACCTTTTTATAAAATAATAAATAACATTAAATGATGAAAGAAGTGAAAATAAAAGCTGCTCCTGTTTTGTTAACAGTCGTTCCGATGACTACCTCGGTCTCTGCAGATGAAACCGAAGCTTTGAAAGCTGAAATCACCAAAGCAGTAGAGAAAGTGCAAGAAGAAGGTAAAATCTGTACTCTGCTTTTATCATTACAAAATAAAACAGTTAAATCTGTAGTGTCAGATGACCTGCTTGTTTATACAAAAGGGTGACAGGAATGTCTTTGGCCAAAATTTGAGCTGTAATTCTGCCTTATTCCCAATTTACATCTCCCGTTCTCTTCAGCTCAGCTGCGAACTCTGCAGCAAATCCGCAGCTATATAATAACTCAGATCATTTACAGGCCCGCAGCAAAGCGGGAAAATTCGACTCGATTTCTGGGCTGAATTTAATTAGATAATCGAAAGATGTGATTAATCATTACGTACAACAAAGTAAGAAAAAAAATATAGTTTCTTTGCACCTGGTGTACTTTTTCCGGAAAATATTTGGATGCCCATAAACCAAAGTTTAGACAGTAAAATCCACAGGAGGAGTTGGTTCAGTTTGACTTCCTGGTTAGTTATTGGCTTTTATTGTGCGAGCCGTGCATGATCCCTTGACCTCCTCTGGGTTTCTTACTGCTGCGGAGTGGACATTTTAAATTCTGGGTTAGATGAGAATTATTGTTTTGTTGGAAAACTGAAAATTTCTTCCACTATTATGGTGATTTGCCAAATAATTGATCCCCTTTGAACTTTACTATAATTTATATTGATACAAACAAAACACACAAACTAGTAAATAAGTGGAAAGGGGAAAGAAGAGGAGATTGAAATGTTTCTTTTCTTTTACTTTTTCTTTTTTACAAATGTAAATGGTAAAATTGTAGCACCAAATAATTTTTGGTCACAAATACTCTGAAATCCCTGTAAAAAAAAAAAAAAAAAAAAGAAATGCATGAAAATACCAGATTAAACGTTAGTAGATGCAATGTAAGGGGACACGGTGAGGATTTGGGGGAAGTGGTGAATTCAAGTGAGACATCTCAGGTTTTTGAACTAGATTCACAACATGTCTCCATGTTTTCTTGGTCAAACATGGTGGAGGCCTTATCATTCTGAGGGTTTCCGATTCATTAGTAGGGATAGGGAAGCAGGTCCGAGTTGGATGGAGGTAAATACTCTGAGACAGGTTCTGATGGGAAAGAGGATCACATCTTTACAGCACAACAACCCTAAATGAACGACCTGGGTTATAACAGAGAGGTTTAGTTCAAAGCATACAAGAGGGTATTATTAGACCAACTGAAGAAGAAATATGTGCGAAACTTGCTGTAAAAGTAACCAAATGGATTCTTTTTGAAAGTTGCATTCCCTGTTACTGTGGATGTAACCGAATAATAATGAAGTAGAGTTTAGTCAGTGATTCCTTCCCTCTGCTCAAGTTACACACTGAATGGGCTCAAAAGCATAAGCAATAAGATTACGATGCTTTAGTGTCCTTTCAGCTTTGTCTTCCATTATACCAAATGTCTTAAGTGTTTTATGGTTGAGCAGTAATGCTGGTATTTCCAATCAATTAATCAACTGCTTGCTACAGAACCAACCAACCCCATGAAGTTACAGCTTAGACCAGTGTTTCCCAACCTTTTATGATTTGTGTCCCCCTTTGGGCATTTTGTCTTTCCATGAGTCGCTCTCTCAGTCAAAACTATTGATGACTGTCCAAAAGTGGAATGTACAATAACTAATTATAAAATAAAGAATATTTTACTATGTCTTTTAATTTGAGCACTTAATTATTAGGCATTTTATGTTTTCACTCTAAAATAAAAAAAACATAAATATGTTTCCTGGAAGTTGGTAATGAATCAAAATAAATACAAAATAAAATCATGTTTTAACCCTGTTTTTATGAAACTGGAGCTCCCTATAATCACATCTAAACTTTATGAATTGTGAAATAATTACAGAGCAAAAAAAATTATAGCCTGACTGACTTAATAAGTTTTACTTTGTTTTCACCAAAACACCTGAGCTGCTTTGATGAGCTCCGATCGCTCAGTGTGTAAAACAGCTCATCTCTACTTTCACTCTGTTCCTCTGCTTTGTTTTGATGTGTGTCAAAGCTCATGGTGAACTCAAACAATAATAAAAACCAACTTTTTGGTTGATAAAAGTTTGTGTCATTTTTTGATTGGTTCCTCACTAAGAAAAACAGATCCCGGCCCTATTTTATTTGACTACTTAAGAAATAAAATATTTTTGTTTAGCCGCTGCAATTCACTTGTAGACCACTAGGGGTATGCGTATGCCCCGGTTGGGAATCAATAACCTCTGCATCCGTCAAATCTGTCTATCTCCTGAAAAAAATCCTGACTACACGTCGGCCGGTCGCAAACCTTCGCAGACCTCAAGCGGAAGTGCACAGACTAAAAGCAGCTGTGGATGGTCCTTGGTATGCCTTTCCAGCTGTCTGTGTGGTCGTCCTTCTCGATTCGGTGCCAGCGCGCGCCATTTTTAAAAACCGAGGAACAACTACAATGGAGAACTATGACGGAAGGTTAATCGAGGAAGTTCAGAAGTACGATCCGTCAAAATTCCTGCGAGTTCTCCAATAGGCTCACCCTTTTGCTTTGGCGGGAAACTGCTGTGCTTTGCTAGAAATTCCAGACAGATGGTGCAGAAGCATACCAGCAAAATTGGTTCTCGACCAGACCCAAGCGATATTTGACGTGTGTGATTGCAAATGTCTAATCTGCCCTTTAGACTACTGCAACATGGCGGCGCTTTAAAAAAAAACCTAAACAATTGTACTTTATGTCTTTTATACATTTATATTTCTCACAATTGTAATATAATCTTTCATAATAGCAAAACCCAATTAAGTTAGTTTGGTTGATCATTTCCACTTCTAGTCGTTCTGTTCAGTAAACATAAACTCCTCAAGTTATCTACTACATAGCTTCCATATGGGCATGCTGCATGATGGGGCTACGTAACCTTTCTGCGGTGCGCAGAAGGCAAGGTTGTGGTGAAAGAAACGTGGAAGGCATTACGCACTTTTACTTGCAATAATACAGTAGTTGGGGAAGTTTTGTTTTAATACACTTCATAGATCTAAGTTTTAACATTCCTCAAAATGCAACCAGAACAACCCTATGGAGATCACTGCTAACAGTCTCTCCCACTCATAGTTGGATTGTTGCACTTAAAACAGAGAGCAACACCATAGGTACTGTCCGCCAGTTATTGCTATTTAAGAATATGTAAGTTATATAAGGGATGCTTCATTCATTTATTTTTCCTGCTGGAAGTATGTTACTGCTGGAAACTGGTTGAAACATCTGCTGTTTTCTCATTTAAATCAATCTTTTAAAGTTAAATAAGGATTATTTGATCTTCTGTTCACAGACCCCAACACTCAGATCTTGTACGCTTGTGACTCGTGTGGCGATAAATTTCTGGACGCCACGTCTTTGGCTCAGCATGTCCGGATCCACACAGCTCAAGCTTTGGTCATGTTTCAGTCGGATTCTGACTTTTACCAGTACACGACAGCAACCACCTCTGGAGAGGGGGATGATGCTCCTGCAGCAACCTGGCAGCCGGCGCCGGAACACGTCATTCAGGAAGGAGAACTGATCTTCCGTACTGAAGAGCGAAAACCAGAGGGGGTGGATGGAGAAACACAAGAAGAACAAGGGTCAGAGGCAGTGATTCATATAGAGGAGGCAGTTGAACTGGAAGAAACTACTTCTGAGTATCAGACAAAAGATGGAGAAGAAGAACAGGAAGAGGATATGAAATCTTAGGGTCAGAACAGCTGGTTGACCTTGAATGTGTAATTTAAACTAATTTATATAAAAGGTAAATAATGATATAGGTTTCTGAACGAGATCCTAAAAGATACTTTAAAACTTAAACATGGATTCTTGGATCTTTTAAAATAATACTGATTTTAGGGTCATCCAAGGTTATTTGATTTACTCTGTACAGCAATAATGTTATTTTGGTAAAGAATTGCGAAAAAATTATAAAAGTTTGATTAATTGGTTTATTTTTAGACTGAAATCTAGGACTGTGCTTTGTCCTTGATCATTAATCTAATACTTAAAGACTATTTTTCCATTCTCGATGAAACATCTGCTCTTTCTTTAAGCATTTGCTGTATTTTACTGTGATTACATGTAGACTTGCTACATGAATGTGAGTTTACTGAAGACTTCAGTGAGTCTAAGAAGCTTTTTATTGGTGTATTTTCTTTTTTTTTTTTTTGCCAGGTTGTACCAATCTTGTGCTTGTATAATAGCCCATCAAATAAGCCTATAGTTTTAGCTTTAACACAGTTTTTAGTTGCATAATAATTTCAAAGTGTACATCTTTGTTGTTTATTTTTATCTGTTTATATTGCTATCTGTAAAAAGAATCTGCAGTAAATATTTGTTGACTCGCTCAGACTCACTGGATCATTAAAAATTACCCTTGTCTGATCTGCTATGGTTATAAATATATGTATGTATTTATAAAAAAAAAACGTCCTCTTTTTATTTATATATTTATATTTATATATATATATATATATATATATATATATATATATATATATATATATATATATATATTTGAGCTTTTTATGCCTTGATCAAATGTATCTGAAGAGTTTAAATCGATTTCTATATGACTGGCCAGTTTATGATTCCCTGATTGACTGATTTAAAGTTATGATTTCCTTACATATATGATTATTGAATAATGTAGTCCAGGGGTGTCAAAGTCATTCCAGAAAGGGCCGTGTGGCTGCTGGTTTTCTTTCCACCCAAGCAGTAGCACACCAGACTCCATTCATCTCATCAAGTCATCAGGTTAAGACTAGACTCACCTTGATGAGATGAATGGAGTCTGGTGTGCTACTGCTTGGGTGGAAAGAAAACCAGCAGCCACACGGCCCTTTCTGGAACGACTTTGACGCCTGTGCAGTAAGGGGATTTAATATAAATCAGTCTTAAAATAGAAACAAGTCACAGAAAAATGTCATCTAAAGGCAATTAAAATGACAATTTTATTACAGAAACATGTAACAGAAGTCAACACAAACACAGAACCAAATCTAAACACAAACATCCAATTAGATCCTATTTACAACATGCTGAAGATAAAGTCAGTTTATCGTGGCATTCAGAGAAATGTCTTCAACCCAAGGAAGCTCAGCCAATCACAGTTACACTCGTTAATTTTGCTGCAGTGCCTCCTCCTGAGCAATGAGGAGACAGTGGAGAGGAAAACCAGCTTTAAGCAGGAAGGAACCTCCAGCAGACCCCGGTTCCATGTCTGAGCGGGTCTTTAACAGGACAGCAGACGTCCGACAGACACAGAGGCGCCGGTCCAAGGAGCAGATGACCTCATCTGGAAAAGAAGAACAGGAGTTAGTGAACAAACACGCTAGTCTGTGACATTTAAACACACTGAGAGAAATGTAACTTTAACCAAGAGAAGAGGGAAACACACAGGGTGAACCTAAAGTTAACAGAAGTGATAACTGTAAACAATGGATGCTTGGAGAAAATGCCTGAAAATGCTGCATTTGTTGGAGTCTTCAGTCGGTCGTTTCTCTGCTTGAATAAGTTCTAAAAAAAACCTTCAGAGATCAACCAGGGGGAAATTCTCCCATATTGGATCAGAAGCTGCTTCTTAACTGTTTATCTGTGGTTTAATGGAAAAGTCAGAACTTCTGGTTCTGGTAAAGGTTTGGTTACAGAGATGCAAATAGAGGTGAACATCCACTCATGATGGAAAGATAAAGATTAAAGGTTAGACCACCTTGATGGGATGGTTGAAGCTTTTGTATCTGTTTGTTCTGGATCTATTTTTACTATCTTCACCAATACTGATGAACATCTGGAAGCAATAAAGGTTCATTACCTTCTTCTACTGGGTGGAGCAGACTGATGGTTTAGCTGCGGGGTCGTCAACGTTTTTCAGACTCCAGAACGTTGGAGAGACAAATAGAGGAGCCATGTTTCTTCTCTTTAGCGGTCTGTGTGCTCCATCCTCTTCTTCAGCTCCTTCATAAATGAAAGCAAAGCATCCTCACAGTCTTAACCTGTCTGCATGCGATGCTTCTATAGTCAAACAACAACCAACATACCTCCAAACACATGTGGATGGATTCTTTTCCAATGTGATCCGACTGCTAGAACACTGCTTCCATGTTCAACCTGCTTTCCCTGAAAAAAATAAGACAAATTAATCTACAGAATTTCCTCGACATCAAGTTGAAATCTGGGTCAGGATGTTGTTTTCATCATAATCTTGGTCTTTCTGTGTTTCAATGACTGTTAGCTTTTAATCAGGCCTGGGAAGCTTGAGTTGTGGGTTTGTCGTGTTAATAAAGGCTTACTCCGTGTGTTTTCTGTTCCAGTCTTTCTCTGTGCCGTCCTCAGGTAGAGACTGGGAAGCTCCTCATCATCCTGGATGTCCCGGTTCCTCACAGGACTTCTGCTTTTGGACGTCCACAGTGTCTGAACATACATGAAAAATTAAGTGAGGCCACCTGAAATGTTAACGTTATATTTAAATGAAGGATTATTGTTGCTCCTTACTGAACATGCTCTCACTCTTTGTGAAGGTCAGCAGCTCAGATGATCCTCCTCTGGTTTGGTCGCTGCAGATCTCATCAGCATCTTCTGATTGGCCCAAAGCTTGTAGCGGCTCGGTCCAACATGGGATTCAAAAAACACAGAAGAGATCCACTGCGGTCAGGACAGGCCTAGATGATATGGAGAATATTTCTGCAGAGGGTTCTTTTCCCTCAAACTAGGCCTGAAAACTAACTAACCAGAGGAACATCTAGAACTAGACCAAGTCACATCGGAAAGCTGTTTCTAACAGTCGGTGCTTCACAACTCAAATCCCTACATTAGTCCTGTCCTCTGCCTCTAACTGGTCTAAATCAATTAGCCCCACCAAGCGTCATCTCTCTACCTTCTTTTTCTCCTTTAGGGTTTAGGTTTGACCTCCTCAGTCGTCCTCAGCAGCGATGTCCAGCAGTTTCCTTGGATTTGTTTGCCTCCTTGTGGTTGATCTTTAATTTAATTTCTGTCTTTTTGTGTTTTTTATCTATGTGTTTTTGTTCATTTGCCTCTATTCTGTGATTCTTCTTGTCAAAACTGTTTGTGTTGCTTTCTGTTATCTAGCAGAATGTCCACATTAGATGTAGAGCATGTTAGACTATTTCTGCCTTAACCAGCTGTCATGTTCCACACCTTTTATTAGTTGTTATCATCTCCTCAGATGTCTGTGCTAACGGAAATTCTTAACATCTAAAACTGACATCAAAATCTAGCAGCGGGTAAGAAAAGCCAGGGTGCAAGACGCTACCTAAGGCATCCCTAGACCTGCCAGACTCCTTAGCATCTAAAAAAAATATATCTAGCAGCGGGGTAAAGAAAAGCCAGGGTGCAAGACGCTACCTAAGGCATCCCTAGACCTGCCAGACTCCTTAGCATCTAAAAAAATATATCTAGCAGCGGGGTAAAGAAAAGCCAGGGTGCAAGACGCTACCTAAGGCATCCCTAGACCTGCCAGATATAAAAACGATCTATAAATGATATCTAGGTGTGACTGTTTCCAGTCCTTCAGCCTTCCCACCTCCAAAAGTCACCAAATCAGCAATAAAATAGATAGTTGAAGGCGTTAAAGGAAGGTTCTTGAAATCCCTCTTCTCAAACATGCCTCTCGCCACAAGGTCTCTTCCCAGGGGGCTCCTCTTCATCATCTTCCTCTCTTCTCTTTCTCCTGGAGGCGCGGTCTTCTTGGCAGTCCGGGGAATCCTCCGGCTCCTCCTGGTTCCAAGGGAGTCTGAAGGGGGGGGGGGGGGGGGGGGGGGGGTGATCCTCAGGGGGAACCGAAGAAGAGGTGGAAGGTGGTCATTGTCTTCATCATCTTCGTCTCTTCTCCTTTTCCTAGAGGCACGGTCTTCTTGGCAGTCCGGGGAATCTTCATCGTCTTCTTCTTTAGAGCTTGTGGTGTCATATCCGCATGCTTGGTCTGAGGGATTGCATTCGAGTCAGTGAGTCGATGCAATCAGCTGGTTTTCCTTGACACAGTGTGAATGTAGCCTTAAACGTGATCATCCAGACATGACAATGGCAGAGGTTCCAGATGTTCATTTAAAGCTGCTTTATCTATTCCAAAACCAGTTTAAATGTGAGTTTAGGATCATTAATCCATTTAAATCCATTTTCCTCTGATAGAATAGGAGCCTGAATCATTAACTAGTTGGTGTCTGCTAAAAGGAGTGAGCAATGCAACCCTGAGGGACCAAGTATGGTAGAGATATAAATGTAGAGTTTAAAGAAGAGAAAATCACCTTAAAACCAAGTTTTATTCTAATTAACCAAAGCTGTTTGCTTTTGGGTTCATTAAACATTTAGTTCCTGCTATCGTCCTAGTTGATTGAATCTTTTACTGCTTTATTTTAACATTAATCTTTAATTATCCTCCCATATTTGTTTGTTGTTCTTTGTATGGCTCAGTGTTGATGTGTCCTGTCTGCTCTGCTGCTAAACTCCCAGATTATCTATAAGGTCAATAAAATGAGAAGAACTGCAGGAGGAACGTCTCACTGTCCTTTTTTAGAGCTAATTATTTTGACACTGCAAAGTGACAAGAACAATTGTTCTGTTAACATGAGCTGTCAGGTCAGACCCCCCAACAGAGAAACAATAATAACCACCAATCTGCCAAAGCGCTGTACTATAGTAATATTAGGACTCTTGCTCCATTTGACTTCAGTTTGGTTTATTTATAAAGAATCAATTTACAACCACTTATTTCAAGACACTTTACCAGAAAATACAAACAGATCCTGTTCACATTACTACAATCAAACCTTTATTATAGTGAGAAATAACAGGTAAAGATAGAACGACAGGAAGCATACTTCAACAGAACCAGACCCAGTAAGGCAGGGGTGTCAAAGTCATTCCAGAAAGGGCCGTGTGGCTGCTGGTTTTCTTTCCACCCAAGCAGTAGCACACCAGACTCCATTCATCCCATCAAGTCATCAGGTTAAGACTAGACTCACCTTGATGAGATGAATGGAGTCTGGTGTGCTACTGCTTGGGTGGAAAGAAAACCAGCAGCCACACGGCCCTTTCTGGAACGACTTTGACGCCTGTGCAGTAAGGGGATTTAATATAAATCAGTCTTAAAATAGAAACAAGTCACAGAAAATGTCATCTAAAGGCAATTAAAATGACAATTTTAATACAGAAACATATAACAGAAGTCAACACAAACACAGAACCAAATCTAAACACAAATATCCAATTAGATCCTATTTACAACATGGTGAAGATAAAGTCAGTTTATCGTGGCATTCAGAGAAATGTCTTCAACCCAAGGAAGCTCAGCCAATCACAGACAGTCGTTAATTTTGCTGCAGTGCCTCCTCCTGAGCAATGAGGAGACAGTGGAGAGGAAAACCAGCTTTAAGCAGGAAGGAACCTCCAGCAGACCCCGGTTCCATGTCTGAGCGGGTCTTTAACAGGACAGCAGACGTCCGACAGTAACAGAGGCGCCGGTCCAAGGAGCAGATGACCTCATCTGGAAAAGAAGAACAGGAGTTAGTGAACAAACACGCTAGTCTGTGACATTTAAACACACTGAGAGAAATGTAACTTTAACCAAGAGAAGAGGGAAACACACAGGGTGAACCTAAAGTTAACAGAAGTGATAACTGTAAACAATGGATGCTTGGAGAAAATGCCTGAAAATGCTGCATTTGTTGGAGTCTTCAGTCGGTCGTTTCTCTGCTTGAATAAGTTCTAAAAAAAACCTTCAGAGATCAACCAGGGGGAAATTCTCCCATATTGGATCAGAAGCTGCTTCTTAACTGTTTATCTGTGGTTTAATGGAAAAGTCAGAACTTCTGGTTCTGGTAAAGGTTTGGTTACAGAGATGCAAATAGAGGTGAACATCCACTCATGATGGAAAGATAAAGATTAAAGGTTAGACCACCTTGATGGGATGGTTGAAGCTTTTGTATCTGTTTGTTCTGGATCTATTTTTACTATCTTCACCAATACTGATGAACATCTGGAAGCAATAAAGGTTCATTACCTTCTTCTACTGGGTGGAGCAGACTGATGGTTTAGCTGCGGGGTCGTCAACGTTTTTCAGACTCCAGAACGTTGGAGAGACAAATAGAGGAGCCATGTTTCTTCTCCTTAGCGGTCTGTGTGCTCCATCCTCTTCTTCAGCTCCTTCATAAATGAAAGCAAAGCATCCTCACAGTCTTAACCTGTCTGCATGCGATGCTTCTCTAGTCAAACAACAACCAACATACCTCCAAACACATGTGGATGGATTCTTTTCCAATGTGATCCGACTGCTAGAACACTGCTTCCATGTTCAACCTGCTTTCCCTGAAAAAAATAAGACAAATTAATCTACAGAATTTCCTCGACATCAAGTTGAAATCTGGGTCAGGATGTTGTTTTCATCATAATCTTGGTCTTTCTGTGTTTCAATGACTGTTAGCTTTTAATCAGGCCTGGGAAGCTTGAGTTGTCGGTTTGTCGTGTTAATAGTCTTACTCCGTGTGTTTTCTGTTCCAGTCTTTCTCTGTGCCGTCCTCAGGTAGAGACTGGGAAGCTCCTCATCATCCTGGATGTCCCGGTTCCTCACAGGAGTTCTGCTTTTGGACGTCCACAGTGTCTGAACATACATGAAAAATTAAGTGAGGCCACCTGAAATGTTAACGTTATATTTAAATGAAGGATTATTGTTGCTCCTTACTGAACATGCTCTCACTCTTTGTGAAGGTCAGCAGCTCAGATGATCCTCCTCTGGTTTGGTCGCTGCAGATCTCATCAGCATCTTCTGATTGGCCCAAAGCTTGTAGCGGCTCGGTCCAACATGGGATTCAAAAAACACAGAAGAGATCCACTGCGGTCAGGACAGGCCTAGATGATATGGAGAATATTTCTGCAGAGGGTTCTTTTCCCTCAAACTAGGCCTGAAAACTAACTAACCAGAGGAACATCTAGAACTAGACCAAGTCACATCGGAAAGCTGTTTCTAACAGTCGGTGCTTCACAACTCAAATCCCTACATTAGTCCTGTCCTCTGCCTCTAACTGGTCTAAATCAATTAGCCCCACCAAGCGTCATCTCTCTACCTTCTTTTTCTCCTTTAGGGTTTAGGTTTGACCTCCTCAGTCGTCCTCAGCAGCGATGTCCAGCAGTTTCCTTGGATTTGTTTGCCTCCTTGTGGTTGAACTTTAATTTAATTTCTGTCTTTTTGTGTTTTTATCTATGTGTTTTTGTTCATTTGCCTCTATTCTGTGATTCTTCTTGTCAAAACTGTTTGGGTTGCTTTCTGTTATCTAGCAGAATGTCCACATTAGATGTAGAGCATGTTAGACTATTTCTGCCTTAACCAGCTGTCATGTTCCACACCTTTTATTAGTTGTTATCATCTCCTCAGATGTCTGTGCTAACGGAAATTCTTAACATCTAAAACTGACATCAAAATCTAGCAGCGGGGTAAAGAAAAGCCACGGTGCAAGACGCTACCTAAGGCATCCCTAGACCTGCCAGATATAAAAACGATCTATAAATGATATCTAGGTGTGACTGTTTCCAGTCCTTCAGCCTTCCCACCTCCAAAAGTCACCAAATCAGCAATAAAATAGATAGTTGAAGGCGTTAAAGGAAGGTTCTTGAAATCCCTCTTCTCAAACATGCCTCTCGCCACAAGGTCTCTTCCCAGGGGGCTCCTCTTCATCATCTTCCTCTCTTCTCCTTCTCCTGGAGGCACGGTCTTCTTGGCAGTCCGGGGTATCCTCCGGCTCCTCCTGGTTCCAAGGGAGTCTGAAGGGGGGGGATCCTCAGGGGGAACCGAAGAAGAGGTGGAAGGTGGTCATTGTCTTCATCATCTTCCTCATCTTCGTCTCTTCTCCTTTTCCTAGAGGCACGGTCTTCTTGGCAGTCCGGGGAATCTTCATCGTCTTCTTCCTCAGAGCTTGTGGTGTCATATCCGGAGAACGCACTAGATACCTCAAGAAACTCGCTAGAAAAAGACCTATAATCCTCATCCTCAGCCTCATCCTCAGCCTCAAACTCATCCTCAGCCTCAAACTCATCCTCAGCCTCCTCGTCATCCTCGTCCTCAGCCTCATCAAGAGACTCACTACAAAAAGACATATCATCCTCATCCTCATCCTCGTCCTCAGCCCCATAAAGAGAATCGCTAGAAAAATACCCATCATACTCATCCTCGTCCTCAGCCCCACCAAGAGACTCGCTAGAAAAATACCTATAATACTCATCCTCGTCCTCAGCCTCATCCTCAACCTCGTCCTCAACCTCTACCTCCACAAAACCCTGTATCTCCACCTCCTCATTCTCCTCCACCACTACTGCTTCAGCCTCTACCTCCTCCTCCTCATCATCAAAAAAACCTTCCTCCACCTCCTCAATGTGTAACTGTTCTCTCAACCTCCTCATCCTCATCCTTCTCCTCAGTTCTCCCATGACGTTATTAAAATTGAAATTAAAATTACCCAGTTCCTGAATCCAGAACAGGAGCTCCGGGTCAGGAAGGGCGGCGACTGGAACTGTGAGGGAAAGACATCATTAGACCAGGAACATTAATAAAGGAACATTAAATAAAAAATGAAATGCTTTATTTTAGGTTGCTGGATGTGCCTGTGTGAGTTTGTCAGGTTAAAGTAGATTTAATCAATAAGAACATTGATCTGTGAGCTAAAATAACCCAATAAAAAACATATTAAGAATGTTGGTGGTTTGGTTAGTTTTAAAATAAAAATGGACATGGTTGTAAAAGACACAATAATACAAAAGTTAATACACACAGAAATATTTAAAAATATGTATATATGGGCGTATACGATTGTGTGCTCCTGTCTCAGTACATTTCCCTATCTACTGTTATTCATTTGTGGATTTCCACAGACAGACTCCTACCGTCTCTGTCTTGGGGCTCTGATTAGACTGCCCCACAAGTGCATAGAATCTGCCATCATGTACTATTGCTAGGTGAATTGAATAATTTAATGGCCAATCAGCGTCTCAGAATCTTGGGTCTCTGAAAATACTGCCCTTTAACAGGCTTCTGCACCCAATGCGCAGGTGCAGACAATTAGAGGGACAATTCAGATTCAATTTTTTTTCTACAAATCTAAGAAAGGGGATCCTATACAGAACTTTTAATTGTTTAGAAGAAACCATCCAGCGTTAAATGTTTTGAAGATCTAGAAAATGATGAAGTCATCTGTAAACAAGCTGTATTATTTCTGGTGACAGATAAGATTCAATTATTTACATTAACCTGAAGATCAAAACAAGGGCTGCAGAAACACTTTTAAATAATATATTGAATCAAACATTTATTCTTTACGCTTTCCTCACAAAGACAGCACTTATAATAAACTCAGCCAGGTTCTAAACATTTTACTGCCCAAAAATGTAAAGGATCTGATTTTTAGTCAAGTGCAAACATTAAAGTGTTTTAGGAAACAAAACTAAAAAAAAAAAAAAAAATGATAATGTTTAGGGTTTTATTAATATAACAAGAAATACGTGACCTTTCAAAATAATTTTAAAAGCTAAAGTTGTTTATTGTTGTATTAAGGAGACCATACTTGTTCTTCGAGTCCTTCTCTGACAGAAGGGGCCAGGCGCCAACTTGTTTTGCAAGAATTTGATACCAAACTCACCAAAAACGATCCTCTGAATCCAGAAACTTTTAAAATCACAAATTTTTAACACCTTTGACCTTCCATTAAAGTCAAAAATATATGCCACCTTGGCATATATTTTTCCGCCAAGTGACGTCAATTGTTTACCTCGGGCGCGGTACACTACGCCTTTTCCACCTAAAATGGCGTCTTAGCAACAAATGTCACGTGACTGGCGGAGACAGATTTTCCTAAATCCGACCCTGTTTTCAGGCTTATGTTAACTGTAATGACTTATCTTGGACAGGCTGCTATGTAAACAGGCCTTTATGCCTTCGTTTAGCTATGCTGCGGTTGTTTACACCACGCCTTTTCCACCTAAAATGGCGTCTTAGCAACAAAAGTCACGTGACTGGTGGAGACCGATTTAATGCATTCTACTAAGGTATCCATGGAGACCAATATGTTTACCACTGCATGTTTTAAAAAAGAACTTCCTTTTCAAGTTCAAATATATTTTAAAAAAAACGTTTTATTCTAAAACTGTTTTATATATTTTCAACCATTTCCACAATAAATTCATCAAAGATTATTTTCACAAACCAAAAGGTGTTTTTGTTTTATATCATTACATTTCTGTTATCATTCCTCCCATTTCCAACCAATAAAAATCTATTTAAATAAATAAAAAAAAATTTCCTAAACACATTAACTAAATTAAACAACTTGAGAGAAATTCAGTCAACTTCCAAAACACTCAAAATGATATATATTTTTATCAAATGCAAAAAAATAAACAGTTTAGTTTGATAATATATTATGCTAAATTTCCTTCAACTGTCTTTTATATTTATTTATTGTAATTTCACCAACATTTTCATATAGAGCAAACTTATTTTAAGGGCATTTTTTAAAAATCATAGACCTAGCACATCTAGTTTACAAACATTTCACCTCAAATTCAACAAAGGTGTTTTTCTTAAACACAAATATATTTTTTAAATCACTAAATCACTGTTAACATTCCTGACAAAAACACAAAACACTTTTAATCTCTGAGATGTCAAAGATGCTAGAAGCTAAGCTAAGCTAGCTGTCACAACTTCCATGAAAAAACTTAAAACTAATAATTTTTCACATAACATTTTTGTTTTTAATTAACATAGTAAAAGAGTGACACAAACCTTTCAGATGATCCAGGAACCAGTTGTCCAGCGATGCGAAGCCCACCTTTAGCAGATTAGCAAGCCACAGAAAGCAGCAACTACAATCTCCAAGGTTCAGGTTAGAAATGAGCGTTAAAGATGGCTGGTGCTCCGTTTCCATGGCAGCGGGTGAGCGTGCGCACGCACGCCTGCGTGAGATCAATTAGAAAAGCATGTTACTGCACCAGCTAATTAGCATCAAACAAAGCACGTTTTTCTGCAGTAATATATTTTTATCCTCACCCAAAGGTGAGTTCAGTCAAAGTTTGCATTTAATGAGGCAAAGGAGCGAGTTCTAAAGCTCACTGGCCGCTTTCTAAGGTTTTCTACCATAGTTTGAAATATTGTGCAATAAATCTGAATCTGAATTTGGAAAGAAATTTCAATCCAAAGCTGCTTTTTTCTTCATCTCCACTGTGGTGGACGAAGTACTCAATAGTAGTATTTGATACTATTAAAAACTTAATCAACTACAATTAAAAGTTACTCGTTTAAACATCTACTCAAGTTGAAGTATTGAAGTATTCAATTTAGAAAATATTAAACACATTCTGCAATAAATCTGAATCTGAATTTGGAAAGAAATTTCAATCCAAAGCTTCTTTTTTCTTCATCTCCACTGTAGTGGACGAAGTACTCAATAGTAGTACTTGATACTATTAAAAACTTAATCAACTACAATTAAAAGTTACTCGTTTAAACATCTACTCAAGTTGAAGTATTGAAGTATTCAATTTAGAAAATATTAAACACATTCTCCATCCCAACTCGTCACATTTGGACGCTTGGTCAGGCTCCCTCTGCGTCACATAATGACACACCGGGTATCCCTTTCAATATTTGACACGCAGGGTTCTCCACTTGACTGTTATAGCCTATATGGCACCAGGAGGATGGTCCATTATCATTTTTTGAAAGGTATAAAAGAATGTATCCCCAAATTAAATCCAATTAAATATGAAAATGCTGTTTTCCTGTTTTCCGAATGTATTTATTGTAACCCTGTTAATTTAACCCCTTAATTACCTCAATGTAATGCATTTCCTGCTGACATTAGGAATCAAGTGCAACTCCGATTTTCACCACTGGGTGGCAGCATATAGAAACGAGGTAAATTTTCCATAAAAAGCAATTTAAGCATAAAAAGGATTCAGAATATATTTCATAGCTTATTTGCAGATACACCAGGCTGGTGAATGTTGTTGAACTCCGTTGGAAATTGATATGAATCTGAATCGAGTTGTCTCGGTAGGTGTACCATTTTGTGTATTTAGCACATGATGTAGTTATTGAAACACGATATAAAAGGGTGTTAAATGATATCTAAGCCTTAATTTTTTACAAACCAGTCAGGATGACTTTTAAAATTAGCTGTGATAGCTGTTCACGGTGTGTAAAATGTTTTACTCACTGAATTGTGTTCTCTAAAACAGCGGTCCCCAACCTTTTTTGCACCACGGACTGCTATATGTCAGACAATATTTTCGCAGACCCGGGATTTATACTCTTTGTAAAAACGATCAAGTAAAATGATACGACTGGCATACTGTAACATCAAATACAAACAGCATAAAAATAAAACAAGCAGGTCCCATCGAGGCGTAATCTGAGACAATGACACAAGAAGTGTGCTCCTGATGTCCAGTCTGCTCCATAGCTTTGTTTTGGTCGCTGTAACCGCAGATAATCCCGCTTCACAAAGATAGGATGTTATAGATAGGATGAGTCTTAACCTGTGTCAAGAGGCATAGATGCACCGACTGATGTTATTGGGAAAGAATACCGCAATTTTTTAGATTTTTCAAAATAAAACATCACTCAGACTCTGATCGTTGATAAATTATTCTGTGCGGCCCGGTACCAAATGACCGACGGACCGGTACCGGTCCACGGCCCGGTGGTTGGGGACCGCTGCTCTAAAAGACGTCCATTAGGCACAAATTACTGGCTGTTTGCTTTTCTATGTATAACTGGGTTGTTGGCTTTGTTTTATGCTGTTTATTCCAAATGTGATGGTACCAGAAGCCAGTTGCACTATTTTTTTCATTTAAACTGGATTTTGGAGAAAGTTTGTTTCAAATCTATATTCCCAATCTAAGTTAATGTGTTCTGCTGCATTTTCTGTATACTATATATTTAAGTTAAAAAGAATGGACTAAAAAGCATTAGTAAAAATTAAACATGGACATTAGTGAATAATATTAATCTTTAATTTCTGTGCATCTTGTGTAGACTGTTTTTTTTATTAAGGTTCCTTTTTAATTCGGATCCCTGGAGGTCGTTTCTTCATCTCATCAGCGCAATTGGTCGCCCGGGTGCCTGGCTCCTTGGTCCACCTCCTCTACTCAGCAGCACCACAGAGGCTCCTTTGAGAATCCTTAGTTTGGACTCTGAGTATTAAGGGGTGGTAGGACAACTTTAATTTTGAGTGCACTCAAGGGTAGTTTTCATTTTGGACATTGGACCAAGTTTATTTAATTTTCCCCCGAGATCTCATAGGTACATTGTATTTTTTTTTTATTCCCCTGTCCTTTTTGTGATTTATATTGTTCATAATCAATATTCTAATACAAATTTAAACTTAACTTGTTTGGTGTTTTATTGGGGTGGAAGCTATATTTGCCATGGGATTTGGTTTTGACCAACCTCTTTGCGAATCTAGATTTAAATAACCCTATCTCTTGACTCTTAGTGTTTTATAAGCAGTGCAACTACTGTAGAGGGTTGCACTATGAAAGAAAATATATTATTAATGTATAAACATAGTTTTGTATACATTCTCTGTATACCTAATGCTGATAAAGTTTTTCTAAGTCTTAGTCTAGTCTAATTCCGTGATTTTACCTTCCACTTTGTATTAATCTTATTTTTTCTTTTTGATTTTTTAATAAAAACCTAGTTTTATATGGAAGAAATGAATGTTCAAGTAGGTATTCAAAAAGTATTAGTTTTCAAAAATTCAAATAAAATGTCTTAATATCAGTACTTTTCTGTATAATTTTCAGTGTAATTTTAAAGAACCTTATAACTTTCAGAATCCAAATGATGTATTGATGCGTAGAACCACCTGCTACAGATTCAACCCCACCTGGAAAGAACTTCAGCATAAAAATGACACAAAAAATAAAGTAAGCTCTTTTGGTTTCTTATTTAAAAACAAACCAAAAAGAAAACAGGATTTTCTTGATTCTCCTCAAACTTTCACTATTGAAAAAAGGTTAAATGTTGAATCTATTACCAGAAACAAACTACAGCTCTCATATGAGAACTCATCTGAACAACTTGGCCACATTGGCAACAACTAACGCCTTAATAAAATGAATAAACTACAAATATCATCTGCCCAGAGTTTCTCACATTGTTATAATGTCATGCTAATCTTTAAAACAGTGGTGTCCAAATTCATTCCTAAGGGCTGCTATCTGCCATGTTAAAATTGCATTTCAAGAAAGAAATCTTTTTTTTAATTAAGTGTATTTCCCTTTTTTTGGAGTTGGTAAATAGCATTATCCGTCAATGGAACGAATATTTCTGTCCTTAAAATTAGATAATTAGGTATTATGCACTTGAAATAATAAAATGGAGTTTCTTTTTCCTATTTCTATTTTAAATGTAATTCATCTTATTCCATGATTAAATTGTCTACTTGCTACCAAGCAATCAGAGATTTCCCATGAGTGGAGATGCTAATCTCTTTTCATCCTTTAACTTGAGTTGCTACATAAACTAGCTACAAAAAAGAAATATTAAAATATCTTCTCCACAAACTGGGATTGCACATGTTTGTATCTCTGACAAACAGACCCACAGCATTACAGATCCTCCATCATACCTAACAGCAGGACTGAGGAGCGTTTCCACATTTTCATGCGTTTTTATATCAACCAGACATCAATTCTGAATTGAAATGTACCAAAACGATATCACCATGTTATGAAATTTAATTGCTACCAGAAACCTCTATGTGTAACAAGTAACACTGGGACACACACACTAGGTAACATAATCACAGAGAAATCCTAACCTGAAGTTAAATGAGTCACACCAATCATCAGGACAGAGATTCAGAACAGTCATTTGATATTTACATAATTTGACCGGTTTGGAAAGTTTTCTGTCTAAGGAAAACCAGCTGATTGCATCGACTCACTGACTCGAATGCAATCCCTCAGACCAAGCATGCTTGTAGCGACAGTGGAGAGGAAAAACGGAGATAGCCTGAAGAGCAAAAACACTGCTCAGTAGTCAAAACAGGAAGTGAATGTGATGCGTCTCACCAACAGCAGCATTAGCACCCTCTAGTGGCAGAATCATCTCCACATCAAACTTGGTGGTCTGATATCCTCGTGCACAGCCTCCCTTTCTCACGTGTGGATCTGTTTTTTGTGCTCGTGTGAACTATTGTCTCTTTGAAGGCGTTACCCAACGGACAAAGCAACTCAGCTGTGAATGACTACTTTTCAGGAAATCCCGCCTTTTGAGGCTGTACTCTTCTTCCTACTAGCAAAACAACTTCAAGAGTTTGAAGTTGGTAAGCATAGTTGTCATTACATACATACTGTGTTGGATGAAGTATTCAACTGTAGTACTTGAGTAAAAGTATTGATACTCAGTCAAATCTTACCCATTCATCTGATCTGTATGCCATTAATACTGGACTAAAGTCACTATTCTGCATCTTGCTATGTAGCAGCAGCAGGAAAAACAACCATGGCGGAAGATAATGCGGAGAGCATTCTTTATTTTCAACCATCTTGAAAAGATAGTGTTGTTAATGCACTGACTGGGGCTGGGAAAGAAATGAAAGATTTTAAATGCGCTCCAGCTCTACCTTCCAAGTTTACTTTCTTAAACACAGAACACGCTCCCTTAAGACACTTAAGTTGAATGAATTCAGTTCACACAGGAGATTGCATATTTGGAAATTAGATCAACCACGCAAAAGAATCAGATTTCCTAAAAAAAATCAATACTGTGCATTAATGCCTGCAGTGTGAACGTAGCCTTAAACGTGATCAT